GGGTTTGGGCCTTAGGGTTTAGGGTTCAGGGTTTGGGGCTTAGGGTTTAGGGTTCAGGGTTTGGGGCTTAGGGTTCAGGGTTTGGGGTTTAGGGTTTAGGGGCTTAGGGTTTAGGGTTCAGGGTTTGGGGCTTAGGGGCTTAGGGTTTGGGGTTTAGGGTTTAGGGGCTTTGGGTTTGGGGTTTAGGGTTTAGGGGCTTAGGGTTTAGGGTTTAGGGTTTAAGTGCATATGATACTATATATAGGGGCCTTAATGATTAGAATAGGTTTTTGGGGCCCATGATACTATAATGGGTTTCTTTCGGGTTTCTATAAGACTATAAGAGTCCTATAACTTTTCCTTGTGGGTAGTTCTCTAAACTAGGGTCCCGTTCAGGGTCCTTTGTACAAGGGGTGCCGTGCTATATTGGGGACCCAAAAAGCTACCCTAAGAGAACTATCCATATAATTTCCAAGATTACTCTTCAGGGTTCCTTATTATATAGGTTTCATTATGATTAGCAAAGGTCGTTTCAAAAAATAGGAACCTGCCATAGTGTGACGAAGGCTTTCGGGATCTCTGACTGAGGAGCCCAGTGGCTCATCCTTACACTGATAGTTCGAATAGGGTTCTGATGTTATGGGGTATATTATATGGGTAGTTGTCAAAATTATGGTCCCTTTGGGGGCAACCTAAATTATAGGTGCCGTATTATAATAAGGACTCAAAAAGGGACCATAATTTTGACAACCAGCCTATGGTTATAGTCACAGTCAGTTGTAGTTCTAGTAAGGTACACTAACTAGGGTCTAGTGCGGGTAATTGTTCAGGCCCTTGTATCATCTAGTTGAAAATGCGAACAAACAATTGTGATGACATTCATCGTGACATGCGGAACTCTTACGGTGTGTCGTCGTGTGTTTTCTTAGTCAGGTGTTGTGTGTTTCTTTTCTCTCTCTCTGTCATATATATATATATATATATATAGATATACACACACACATGTGTACGTATGTGTATATATATATATATACACGCATATGTCTACTTGCCTGCTACCCACCGATCTTTCTGCCTTCCGAACTATACCCTTGTCTTAACTACCCAGTATATGCAGCCATTTCCATACATACAGGCAGCTGCATAGATCGACGCAGCCAGTGAGAAGGGTTCATGGATGGTCCCGAGGTTCCGAGTTCGTTCGCCAGGCCCCACGAGACAACACCAAGACATCCACAGTCCTGTCTGGTTTAGCACCGAGGCGCTACCACCCTAAACCCTAAACCCCTAAACCCTAAACCCTAAACCCTAAACGTAGGGTTTACTGGATTGACGGTTGCCGGGTCTAGGGCTAGTGTAGGGGCCCTAATAAGTAGAATGGGGTTTTGGGGTATATTACACTACAAGTATAATAAGGAACCCCCGACCACAGCACTAGTAATTATCAAGGCCCCTATATTAAACCCTAAACCCAACGGGATGGAGCCCTAAACCCAAAACCCTTAATCTCTAAACCCAAAACCCTACAACCCTTAAACCCTAAACCCTTAAACCCAAAACCCTTATATTGATCCCAAAACCGTTAAGGCTGCTGGTATCTAGGGCACAGGGTTTAGCTTTCCAAGCCAAGGCTCTGCAGAAGAGAAAGCACGAGCACAGCGGCAAGCGGAGGTGGGAGCTAAACATCCCTATAGGGTTCAGCACGGTTTAGGGTTTAGGGTTTAGGGTTTAGGGTTCAGGGTTTAGGGTTTAGGGTTTAGGGTTTGGGGTTTAGGGTTAGTCTGCAATGTAGTTCCTTTTTGGGCTTACCTTATAAGCCTGGGTCACCATGAGACCGCCCGGTTTGGTCGATTACGGGAAGTGTAGAATGTAGGGGCCTAAATAATTACCTATACTATTTCGGAGGTTTCTTACTATGATCACAACATAATGGGCCCCAGCGCCCTATTCGAATTATTAAGGCCCCTACATTATGCATGTTAGGTTCGCTACTCTTTCAGACGTCTTACAGGCAGTGGGTTTGCCATACTACCAGGAGTTCCCTAAACCCTAAACCCTAAACCCTAAATCGAAAACCGAAAGGACGCACCAAGCATTTAGATGTGAGTCCTCACTCTACCTCGGCATGTCCTGAAGCCCATATCCGGAAATCGGTAAACAGAAAGCCAATAAACCCTAAACCCTAAACCCCCAAATCCGAACGCTGGAACTCGGAAGTCCTGCACGCTGGATGGGATGGTTCTACAGGTCGAGGGGGCGATTGGTAAAGCAATTCGCTTCTTAGGGTTTAGGGTTTAGGGTTTAGGGTTTAGGGTACTATTTCGAAATCATGCAAATACGCACATGCCCGAATAAGAGTTGCTGAAAGAGCCGTGCGCCAAATAAGCCCCAGATGCAGCCGTAGACGGAAGCCGAAACAAACCTCTTCTCTACAGACTCTACAGTGGAATCTACAGTAGAAACGACTTCCGCAGGGGATCGGTGTTTCGGGTGTAGGGTCGAGGAGCTAGTTACCTGTCAAACTGTAATGACATCAAACTGTAATAAGTGGTCTCTGAAGGTGAAAGCTGCAGTGGACGCGGCTACAGCTGCGGCTGCAAAAGAGCTCGAAATGATGAAGGCGCCGTGCATGTGTTAGTGTGGCATCTATACCTGTTGAAAAGCCTAGACCCCGAAAACTCTATACCCTAAGAATCCTAAATCGAAACTCTGAGGCTGTGAGAAGTAGGAATTTGGAGTCGTGAGGGCCTCTAGGATTTAGGTTGTGGGTTTAGGGATGAAGGTATTCCGTGTTTTAGAGCTTCGTGCGATCTTTAGGATTTAGTAGGATTCAGGAAGAGGGTGTCCAGCGGGTTTGTGTTGTAGGGCGGTTGGGGATTGGAGGCCAGAGGCTCCAAAGCCGTAATTCGGGCTGTAGTTGCTGCCTTCCCTAAACCCTAAACCCTAAACCCTCAACCCTAAACCCTAAACCCCTAAACCCCTAAACCCCTAAACCCCTAAACCCTAAACCCGGGTGGAGGGTGTCTTTGGGGTAAGGGTTGAGGGTTTGGATCGTTGGCCTCGGGGTTCTCGGATTGCAGGCTCGCCGATCCGCAGGGGGTAATGCGAGACCTAGTTGCAGAGGTACAGTGTTTCATGGCTTTTGCGATAGATTTCGTACCCTAAGAGTCCAAGTACCCAAATAGTAGGGTTTCAAGGTCCAAAAACCATTCCGAGTATGGATTTGGGGACCTAAAACCTTACTATTCGGGTACTCGGACCCTCTGAGATCTGGGTATAGTGTCAGCAATATCCGCGCGAGGGCATCTGCGCAAACACGTCCTGTTGCCACCTGAGTTGGACTCGATCATGCAGTGCAAGCAAGCGGTACCCCTGCAACACCTTAAGACAAGTGCGAAGCCCTCAGCCATAGACGTGGGTCTCATAATGTCATACCCAGTCATCAAGCTAAATACATATCTCCTCGAATCCTAGACCCTAGAAGTAAGGTTAATACAGAGGTCTAAATATTTACAAATACTATTTTGGGGGGTTCCTTATTGTGATTACAGTATAATGGGCCCCAAAACCCTATTCTAATTACTAAGGCTCCTACGCTAAGCCATTTCTTGAAGCAAAGTGCTCTAGCCCATAGTAGTAAAGGTGAAACTTCTCAGTACAGACATCCTACCGGATCTTTACTGCACCCTAAACCCTGAACCCTAAACCCCACTGAAACCAACTTTCCAAATACCACTTGACCGAGGTGGCACTAGCAGATGCCGAGGCCTATGGCCGTCTATAGCAGGTTGAAGGGTAAGGGTTTAGGGTTTAGGGTTTAGGGTTGGGGTTTAGACATGGATGTAACATATGGGTAAATGTCAAAGTCATGAGCCCCGTGGGGAACCCTCTATGATTCTACTCTTAATTCGACACCCTATAGTTTGGGAAGCCCCCCAAAAAAGCCGAGTTGTGAGAGTCACCTATATGTATAGGCATAATCTAGGGCATTTTCAGGTGGGTAGTTACCGTTATAGGAGCCTTATAGAAGCTTTACATACCTTATAGAAGCCTTATAGGAGCCCTATATACCCTAAACTCCCCACCTGTAGCTTCCTTTAACCATATGTATAGGCAGAATGTTTAACGGACCAGGATTTGGGGCTTTACCGTTCGGTGTTGTGGCAGGAGTTGAATGCGTCGGTCGGAGTATGTTGGTTTAGGCCTCGGGTTTCTGTCATTTTATCTAGGGGCCTAAACAATTACCTATAGTATTTTGGGGGTTCCTTATCATAATATAGTATAATGGGCGACAAAACCCTACTCTAATTATTAAGGCCCCTTACATAGATGTTAATCCGGTCCATGAGTTTTGGGGTTTCAGATGGTTTTCAGCAACTGCTTGCTCTAGTTTGAACTACTGTTGATGCTATAGATCCTGCATTACTTCAAGGACCCTAAACTATGGGAATTATGGTATATTCCTTGGCTAATGCAGGATTTATATCAGTACAAGTTTCGCAGCAAAGAGTGGTCCTGTTTCCTCTGGACGGATGATGGGGTTAGTTGCACGGTTAAAGTCTCAGTTGCAAGCTGAGAGACCACAGTTAGTGTTCTTGTGTCTTATGACTCTTTTCAAAAGCTACTGTCTAAGTCCCCTGAGCTTGTCAACTAACCAATATGTAGTATGAACACGCATACATAGGTATTCATTTGTGCATGTATATACATACAGCCTTAATCACGTACAGTGTAATGTATATACATATATACAGTTAGATAGCAACATGTATATGCATGTTACACATGCACACACACACACACACACCTTGAAAGCAACCAGAACGCATGTGTTATTGAAGTGCCCTCTCAAGAACCCGAGGCTTTTCAGTCGTTCTTGCAGTGGCCTCTCACATAGTTTCACGAGGAGTCCAATCTGGAATAGTCTCTACTCAGAGGTCCCATAGTAGTTCCTTTTTGGGGTTCATATTTAGAATCCTCTAAGGTAATCCCAAAAAGGAACTACTATGGGGCCTATGGTTACACCCTAAACCAAAAAAAAAATTGGCCCATGCTGGGAGTTTCAGAAAACAGGGGATGCCAAACGGGACAAATCCATGGACACTTACAAACCCAAAGGCTCCATGTACCTTTATAGTAGATACTTAAGCCCTAAAGTACCTACATAGGGACCCCTTTAAGGCTTAAGCAACTACTATACGGGTACATGGAGCCTTTGGGAAAGCCCGACCAAGCCATATTACAGCGCAGTGGAAGGAGAAGGCATCTGGAGCCGCGTCGATGGCTGCTTCGATGTCGCAGGCGCAGGCAACTGCCGAGGACCCTGTGCTACCAAAGAAGCCCGAAACCTTAATTAAGGGTTTAGGGTTTCAGGGTTTAGGGTTTAGGGTTTAGGTTTTAAGGTTTACGCTTTGCCTATATTCTTCATTGCAGTTCCGTTTCGCTGGTTGTCCAGATTTATATTACAGCATCCTAACCATAGGATTTGGTCAACCACAACAGAATTATAATGCCTACTATATGTATGATTTGGGGTTCAGGGGCCTAGGGTTTAGGAGAGTTTCCAGAACCGCCCAAGTTCTCTCTGATGGAGTTCGCATAGTCCCTAACTGTTGGTACGGCATCTATGTCTAGGGTTGAAAACAAGGGCCCCTAGTAGGGGCCCATAACCCTGGTCTCTACTTAAAGGATCATGGGACTTAGAAAGTAGGGTTATAAACTAAGGTAACTATACTTATAACCCCAATTAAAGGACTTATAACCCTACTTACTAAGTCCCATGATCCTCCAAGTACCCATAGGCCCCATAGTAGTTCCTTTTTGCGGCTTATATTCAGGATTCTATTAGGGAATCCCCAAAAGGAACTACTATGGGGCCTATGGGTAGGTAATAGGGTTTCAGCAGGTTGTTCTTAGCTGTTGCAGGCCCCTTAGCTAGGGAAACTGTCTTTAATCATGTCTTGTTCCCTAAACCCTAAACCCTAATTGTTAAGCATCTGAATATGTTTTCAGGCATGTTCTTTCGTTAGCGGCTGTTGGGGTGTCTGGGCAGTTCGACTTCTAACTGCAGCTAAGGCGCGCGTATCAGGGATACTTGGAGGTTCATGGGTAGCTATAAGTGGGGTCATAAGCCCCCTAAGATGGGTTATATCTACGCCTTACTTATAACTACCCATGAACCTGCAAGTACCCTAACCTAAACCCCAAATCCTAAACCGTACCCTAATCTTTATTTGGGAGGCGACGTCAAGCCGACTTCGGGAGGGCACTCATCCTGTAGGAGAGCATGCTTCCATGTAACTCTGGGCCTTGAAGCACCATACTTTAATACTTTTTGGGGGACCTGTGCCTTAAACGGTTTAGGGTTTTAGGGTTTAGAGTTTAGGGTTCATAGGAACCATTATATGAAATAAAAGTCGATACTTTTTTCTCCCTGGTTACTTCAAAGCCCAGAACTGGCACAGGAGCCTTAGCAGATGGTAATTCAGCTCCTGCAGATTCTCCACAGTTGACATAGTCTGACTACAATCATTCATTTAGTCAGTTACGGCCAAGCCCTACTTGGAGGTTCATGGGTAGTTATAAGTGGGGTTATGAGCCCCCTAATATGGGTTACATCTATACTTACCTTACTTGTAACCCCACTTATAACTACCCATGAACCTCCAAGTACAGCTGGATCACAAATGCTCCGACCCAGGATTCTACAGCCAAATCTCCGAAGCCCCAGTACTGGCTAAAACCTTTACACAGGCAAGCCTGGAATCCTGAAAGCTGTATCCCCACCTAAACATGAACCCCAAATCCTGATCTAACTGTGGATTTGGGACAGTTTCCATTTTCCCGGTTATGAATATTTATGAATAATTTTGGGGACTGTTGGAACCGACACCTAGTGAACCATGAAGCTGTTGAATGCCTTACATGGGTAGTTCTCAAAATTACGGTTCCGTTGCAGGTCTCCAATATGGTACGGCACCCTTATAAAAAAAGAATCCTAAAAGGGACCCTACTTTTCAGAACTATCCATGGGCCCTAAAGTAGTTCCTTTTTGGGGTTCATATATAGAATCCTATAAGGTAACCCCCAAAAGGAACTACTGTGGGGCCTATGGGTCTAAACCCTAAACCCTAAACCCTAAACCCTAAACCCTAAACCCTAAACTCTAAACCGTGCTATCCACCTCGTGAACCATGAAGCTGTTGAATGCCTTACA